AACCCTTTGGTAGAGGGGAGCACTGCTAATACTACCACGAGAACAGCCCACGGAGCGAACCCGGGCGCTCGATAGGAAGCAGCATGCTCATAGTAACCCTCAATGGTAAGGGGAGCGATACTTCCAAGTGTGTCAAAAATAGAGACACACTGGTTGAGTGAAGCCCAAGGTACCGGGATCTAACCAACTCAGAGAAAAGGAACGAAGCTATAACGCGTAACCTTACCGTACAGGATTTCAGAAAGTGCGCAAAGTCTAGCGTGCACACTTACCACTTATGTGGATTTTAGAAAGTGCGCAAAGTGCTCAGCGTGCACACTTACCACTACTGGGGATTTTAGAAAGTGCGCAAAGTGTTCAACGTGCACACTTACCACTATGTGGGTTTCAGAAAGTGCACAGAGCTTAGCGTGTGAACTTACCATAGCATGGATTTAAATTTCCAGGCATCTGATCACAGATACCTGGAGGTACTGGGCCAAACGGGAGAGGCAAGCTCAAATACGACCCTCTAAGGCGAGGGGAGCACTGCCTGAGACAGCATTAAAAATACGCTCACAATGAACGCGGATTGCCCCCTCAAGGACATCGCGTGCGTGCTCTTTGCCCAAACAAACAACGCAGAGATCGTGTGTGTCATCAGGTGTCAAATAATGACGACGCGGATGCACACACCCTCTAAACGCTTTGCTAGTGCTCGCCATAACGATAGGAATATCCTCTTACCACGGAAATGCACGCTTCAAACAAAATGGTCAGTGAAGACGAAGAAGAGAATGACATGTTCTCCCGGCACCTATTTATACTATAATCGCACCGGTAGTGATGTCATGGACTGTCGCCGGCCAACGTGTTGTTGGTGTTTTTTCAATGTATGCTTCAGACACGGGTCACGACGAGGCGTTCCCCATAGCGACCCCTAGAGGACGCAGTTCGAAGTTCCCTTGAAAGGGAACTAACACTTGCTTCTCTAATCTTTTTGTATTCTATCTATTTGTTTTCTTTTTATTTATTATACAATTAACAAAAGCAAAAAAAGGCCTCTAACTGTCACACCCATGGACTGTTTTGTGTTTGTTTTCCTCCCCCACGTGCTCCATGTCCTGGTTTTCCTCCGTGTTTCTCTGTGCCCATATTGGGTTACGTTCCAGTTCCTAGTGCGGTCATTTGATTCAGCTGTGTCTCATTGAGTTCCTCGTTATGTTGTGAACTTAAGTCTTGTCTTCCCTGAGTTCCTTTGTCCGGTATTGTTCTTCAATCCCCTGTGCTACGTGTGCCTTCCTTTGGATGAATAAAGACTATCTTCATGAATTCCCCCACGTCTCCTTGCTCCTTCCCTCCTTGTTCGTTCACAGTAGCAGCAGATATTGACACTAACACTAGCTTTCTTTATTCTTTTTCTATTATATCGGTTTTCTTTTTATTTATTATAAGATTAAAAAAAAAAAACTTGCAATGTGTACTGCATTAAGATAACTGAGACTTGTTATAGCACTTGCATATCATTGCTCTTTTGTTGATTTTGATTGCTTCCATTGTCCTCATTTCTAAGTCGCTTTGGATAAAAGTGTCTGCTAAATTTCTAAATGTAAATGTAATTAGCCTCACACACAACTCAATAGACTTTTTTTTCTGTTTCTGGCCTTTTTTCTTCAGAAAACCAGATGTTCTCACAACATTAAAGAGCATCTACAAAGGAAGAATTTTACACTTATAAACTACAATACATAATTTACATTATAGACATACCTCTAGCTTTTAATATGCAATACAATAGTTGTCAGACTCTGTTCCGTGTTTTGTGTTTTGCTCCCCACGTGTTCCATGTCCTGGTTTTCCCATGTGTTATGTATATGTCTACCCTTGCTACGTGTGTTTTCCTTGTTCCCTGGATGTTATTAAAATCTATATGTTTGAATTCCACTCCTTGTCTCCTCGCTCCTTTGTCTCCGTGCTCCTCACAGTAGCGCAACATGACAGAATTCCGGAACAAAACAGAAAAAGTGAGTGGCGCCTCTTCTCCCCGAGTTTTTTTCCGTTTTTGAAAGTCTTTTGTTTCTGTGTTTTCCCCCACGCGATTATGGAGATCGCTACACGCTTCATCGCGCTAGCCTGTAGAGATCTCCCCTTCGTCGAGTTTGCCAAGGAGTTCTGCGGGCTCGCCGTGGCGACGGCTTTAGATGATGCCACCATCAACTCGTTGTTCTGGCACGGGGCCAATTACCATCGCCCCGTGGACCTCCCAGACACCACGGGACTATGCTGGAGGGAAGGGATCCTCCGGTGTCTGGAGAGCATCCTGCCCCGATCCAGAACCAGCCCGCCGGCCGTGGCATTCTTAAGCCCGCCATTTTCCTTGCTCCCTGGATGTTATTAAAATCGACATGTTTGAATTCCACTCCTCGTCTCCTCGCTCCTTCGTCTCCGTGCTCCTCACAGTAGCGCAACGTGACAATAGTACTTTTTATTAAAGAGTTAACTGGAGCATGAATTATTGTTGTAATGATTATGACAGATATCTGTATCGTGCCTAACTGTTACTATGAAAGACTTAAGCAGATTCATTGTTTTTGTTGACTATTTTTGGCTGGCTTGAATTTTGCTGTTTTTAAAAGCATGATTCTTAGAGAAGACCATCTGCCCAACACTCAAAATCAACCCAGACATGCATGCTGTGTTCATTTATGATCGGTCCCTAAGCATAGAGCAAAATCTTTACCAAGTGTTTGCATAGTACTGTGCCCGAGGGGAGACTTCACAAATGCTTACCATTTTGTGCACTTGCTTTCCTCTAAAAACTCGGAGGCTCATGTGTATAACACTACAAAATCATTTTTAGTGACTATCTTTGTTTTCCAGTTAAAATATATAAAAGCCCATAACACAAGATAAATTAAACTGATAAGAAAGACTACATACAATAATAAAAACTTGTTTCAGAGACTGTATCTTGATTGTGTGTGTTTTGTCTTGTGGCACTGGTAGAAAAACAAGTAATTGCAATAACACAAAATACACTTATATTCAAGATAAATCTCTAAAAATCAATGTCTTACAAGACCTAAGTCTATTCCTACAAGACAAAATGTAAGAAATTAGTGTATTATTATTATTATTAATATTATTATTATTATTATTATTATTATTCTGCATTGGAAAAAAAAGTATTCATTCATTCATTCATTCATTCATTCGTTCTCCTCTTTTTCATGCCAGGGAAGCCCATTGTTCCTGCAGTCATCTAAGAATGTGTCTGTCAACATCCTCAATGAGAAGAAGCAATTAGTATCTCAACTCATTGCAGGTAAGCACACAAATACAAACACTCTTAGGGTAAGAATCATTTAAAACTCTCATGCAACCTCTTTGTGATAATTACAATTGTCTTGCTCACCACAATTTTGCAGACTATAAATTGGAATGAAGATTTCTCGCCCCATCTGTGGGCGTTTATATTAGCATAGATAGCATGAAATTAAATATTCACTGATCTCAAGAGGCAACAATGGGCCGGTCCGCTCACGGAAGGAAAATGAATCCAGGCAGCTAATGTTAGACTTTATAGGACAGATAGTAAAATGAATACTTAGAAAGAGTTCAAGTCTTGATAGTCAGGTTGTTAGTCTCATCTCTCTCATGCTGTAGCCTTTATAGCTGTGACTAGAGACTTCATTACAGTGCAGTAATTGCATGTGCATGGATGCATGTACTATTAAGTCCTGGTTAATAACGTACTAGCAAGTCTGTATTTTAATTAAAGTAATTTTGCCTTAAATGGACTAGCTAAGTGACTTTCACTTGAATTACGGTGTTAGAACATCTGTATGCAAAACAAAATTAAAGTGTAAGAACAAGCATGTGTTTCATTAGCTGAATGATTAGTGTTTTGTGTACAAGCTGGTCAGAAAAAAAGTTATTAGACATTACAAGCTTGTATGTGTCAGATTAGACCAATAGGCGGTAACACTTTTAGTTTAAGGTGTCCTTGTTACACATATTACATGTACTTAATGTTACAATAACAATTAATTATGCATAGTTACATGCAAGTAACCCTAAGCCAAACCCTTATCCTATCCCTAACCATATAGTAAGTACATATAGTTAATTAATATTACTCAGTACTTAAATATACAGTATAATTACACTGTAACAAGGACACCTTAAAATAAAGTGTAACGGTAAAATCAAGTGCAGGAAAGCTGCTCTTCTCTGCTGACGACCATGAGGTGGTAGTTGGTGCAGAGAGATTACGAGTTATGGGTGAGTGAACAATTAAATTATAACATAATTTTTTATGCTCACACAAAGCCTTAGCCCTGTTCCCAAAGAGTTATTTGGCACAGTCTACAAAGAGAAAGTAGCCTGAAATCTTATGTATTTTATTTATTTATTTACTTGTTTATTTATTTTTGCTTATGATCCTCACAGGGCTGCTTTTAAGCACAGACTGGTGTGAGATATTGTGCAAATTGTGTAACTGACAGAGCAGTGTAATTAAAGCATCTAGTAAAATGTAATGAAATATTAGTAATTTATATGTTGGTTGCAAAAATAATTTCATCAGAATACTAAACAGCTACTTTTAAATGACCATCAATGGAAAACAATGCTTTTTGACTCCATCATCATGTAATTACATCTATCAGAGCAGAAGCTTACTGGACTATAACATACTAACTCATTGAAACATGGAATATTTCATAATATTGTCTATGATACAGGTTTTCAAACTAGGGCAACGAGGAGGTTTGTGGGGGATAAAATATTTTACAACATGCAAACATGATAGGGCTGTCAAATTTAACCTGTTAACTTAAGATATTATTTAAATGTTTAAAGTAATAATTTATTTTGACACATTTACTGTGCTATGGTGCTAATGTGCTATTGTTGTTTTAAATGAAAAATGTATTCAATCGACTTGTATTCTATTGCTGTATTGTTAGTAGAAAGTAAACATTTCCCAGATATTGTTTTAACAGTGTTGGCTTTAGTACAGTGACAATATAAAATATTTCAAAAGAATATTATTGTTGTTGTTGTTGTTGTTGTTGTTGTTGTTGTTGTTGTTGTTGTTGTTGTTGTTGTTGTTGTTGTTGTTGTTGGTGTAGTAACATATTGGGCCTAATTCATGAAACACAAGCAGAATGAATTTTTGTGTAAATCGTTCGTAAAGCTGTTCTGACGTAAACTTTAGAATTCATGAAAATGTTCGTATTTTCAAAATGTTAGTTGATACGAAAGAAATGTACACCTGCTCCACGTGTAAATGGTGCGTAAAACTTTGTGTTCTTTTTGGCAAACTGATGACATTGAATTTTGATGCACTGCCATAATAATTACAAGTTAATTTGCGCTTGACCTCTTTTTGAATTTGAATTTTTTTATTTAAATTTTTTTAATTTTTTGCAGCTGAGTTGATAATTGTAAAACGCAGTGCTCGTCACTGTCACTATTTACCCAGCCGTAAATAGAGGAGGGGCGGGAGTCGGGACAAATATAATAATATTACTTATGTAACCATGGTTCCCTGAGTAGGGAACGAGACACTGCGTCCTCTAGGGGTCGCTATGGGGAACGCCTCATCGTGACCCGTGTCTGAAGCATACATTGAAAAAACACCAACAACACGTTGGCCGGCGACAGCCCATGACGTCACTACCGGTGCGACTATTAGTATAAATAGTGTCATTCACTTCTTCGTCTGAAGCTTGCGTTCGAAGCATGGCAGGAAGCCTAGAGGATGCAGTGTCTCGTTCCCTACTCAGGGAACCATGGTTACATAAGTAACCTGAGACGTTCCCTTTCAAGGGAACTTCGAACTGCGTCCTCTAGGGGTCGCTATGGGGAATGGTATACCCACGCCGCCATGCTGAGGGGAATGCGGGCTAGAACCATGGCGAGCACTAAATACCAATTTTACCATTTTCATGGTGAGTTGCCCCTGGGACGTCAGACGGCTGTCCGTGACTTTAACCCCTACGGCCAAGGGCCTAGGCTACATACCCAAACTTACCTGTTAGAGCCAGACTCCTGGGCCCGCGGTAGAACTCCAGGCTTGGAATCAAAATGGATTCCTTTAAGGGGATACGACCAAGAGCCTAGTATCATACTAAGTCTTGGCCTGTCACACAGGGGCCACCGCTTGCTCTTGAATAAGCTCTGAAAGGAACTGTCTCAAGTGGCACTCTGAAAGAGCAGCTCATAGATGGAATGTTGCATCCCAAAACCCAGTGGCGGGCCGTTCATTTTACACCTAGGCCTTCTGTGGCGTCCTACATGAATTAATCCATCTCTTCATACCATCATAATGATGCCAGGGCTATAGAAACCATAAATATTACACAGTAATGCAGTATAACGGCACTACATAACAGAGAGGTATCTTATGTAGCGAGAATTAATGCCATTACTAAAGAAAGAATCCCAATTAACAATTGCGCAACACATCATCTGTAGCTGAAGCATTAACCTAACAAAATGACACAAATACCATACTCTAGTGGTTTTTCATCTTCACGAGTCTTTCACAGAGCCGGTGCCGAGGAGGTGTGTGGTTGTTTTTCGCAGTCATTAGGACTAACGTTGCTGTTTTTAGATTTACTAAATATAGTAGGAAAATATTTTTTCAAAATGCACTGAAAATCTAAACCTGAGAAACAGTAATAAAAGTTTTACTAAGTTTTAATAAAATGATTTACAG